TGGGATATTCGCGATGGCTCGCTCAAATGCATCCTCCATTTCTTCACGGCTGACCCTCTCGTTTTGTAGGAGACGAATATAATCAAACCACGCATCGTAATTGAACGCATTTTCCGCAATTTGCTAAAATACAAGAGATTTATTTCTACAAGAATCTTACACATAAGAAAACAACGGAACTTTAAGAATCCTATACAATACTCTAGCTCCTTAAACTCACTTCAGGATACCAGGAAAGTAAGATCAGACTTTTAATCATCATTGCGAAATGGAAGAAACAAAAATCTTTGCTGCTTGAAAATAAGTGCAAAAAGCTCTTTCTAAAGCCGCAAAATCTAACCACATGGCCATCAACTCGGCCTGTCGGCCGCAACGTAAAATCTAGTCATAAAAAAGGAAAGTTTTGCCAAAGCAGCATGAAAATTACCTTAGAAGTTTGTGGGCCAAGAAACATAATTGTAGGTACGCAAAATCATTTAAAAGAATCTGTGGTTCAGGACAGGATAAAAGATAATGGGCGTTGAAGACAGGCCTAAATAAGCTAGTGAAGCACCAAGACTGACCTGCACACCCTTTCTTTTTTCCATAGCCTAATTATCATTTATGAATGAGCTGTTTTGAACACAAACCTTTTCGTACTGATGACGACGTTTGCTAACGATCACATTCTCTATGCCGGTTCTCTCGCCATACTTTTTCTCGTGAATTGTATAAAATTTATAAATCTCAGGTGTTCGCCCGGCCGGCAGATGGTCCAATCCGTACCTGTAAAGAAAATCCCGAAATATACCGAGACAATTCTCAATAATCGATTGGGGACGGCACTTAAATTCTTTCTAGATGATCCCAAAAGCATGTAGTTATCAAGTTATGGAGGTAGGAAATCAAACAGTCCATCAAACATTGTACTAAATCTCGTGTGGAGAGGTACCGCTTCGTGTACATACTGTCTGCTAAGCCGGGAAGCCGAATGTAATGGGAAGTAGTGCGAATACCCATGTAAAGCCTGCAAAATGTCGAGAATTTCTAGCATCTTGACACCAGAGGAAGTCTGTACATGGATGCCATACACACAGATTCATGAGTTTCCACTGTTTGAAGAAGTGAAGCAACGACGCCGGTAGGTCAGTAGTAACATTAAAGTCACAATTTGAAGGAGCTGAAAATTGTGGATGTGAGAAATTTGATGGTACTGGGGTAAACGACAGTAATGTTACGGGTTGCTTTCCAGAAAATACTCAAAAAAGAGAACAAAAAAACCCTTCCGATCACAAATTTTGCAACTCGTACAGCCCTAATATTTGAGTCATCCCTGAATGCTTAGAGTTTCAAGAATTGGACGATGCAGAAGGTTTTAATTTTTTATCAGACTGTATAGAAATGCTTTTAAAAAACTACGATTAAATCGAGTCTAGTGCAGCCCAGTTCTCAGGAAACAACGGCACATTTTATGTCTGACCAAACTCCTCTCCCCTTTTTCTATTTTTCCACCGTTTTTTATCAAAGCTATGAATAATGCCAATGAAATTGGAACTTTCTTTACTCCCCGTCAACATTCAAATGCAAGAATTCATTCGAAATTCATCACAATCCACTCAGTTGGATCCTGCAACATTAGCTCATTTCGTTTTCCATTTAGCTGAAGACGCTGGCAGTCAAACTTTTTCATTGGAATTCATC